GATAGAGATTCCTTGTCCTAAAATTACATGCCCAAGGAACTTCACTTCTGTCAGCCAGAAGTCACATTTCTCCTTCTTAGCATACAACTGGTGTTCATGAAGAGTTTGAAGAACAATTCTTAGGTGCTGCTCATGTTCTCCCTAAGTCTTCGAGTAAACTAGTATGTCGTCAATGAAGACAATTACGAACCGGTCCAAATACGGCTGGAAAACACGGTTCTTCAAGTCCATGAATGCCGCTGGGGCATTCGTCAGCCCAAAAGGCATTACAAGAAACTCGAAGTGCCCATACCGAGTTCTAAAAGCAGTATTCGGAATGTCCTCCTCTTTGATTTTCAATTAGTGGTACCCAGATCTCAAGTCAATCTTGGAGTAAAACTGTGATCCGCCCAACTGATCGAATAATTCATCGATCATCGGCAGTGGGTATTTGTTCTTCACAGTTACCCTATTCAATTGATGGCAGTTAATGCACAACCGGAGAGATCCATCGTACTTTTTCACAAATAGCGCCGGGGCACCCCAAGGTGAAGTACTATTCCGGATATATTTTTTCTCTGCTAGCTCCTCAAGATGCTTCCTTAATTCTCTCATCTCCGCCGGAGCCATCCGGTATGGAGGAATGGAAATAGGTGCCATTCCCAGAACCAAATCAATGCAGAATTTAATCTCTCGATCTGGCGGCAACCCCGGTAGATCCTCAAGAAATACATTTGTGAACTCATCCACTACAGGGATTCCCGCACTATCTCCAACTACCTCAGGTTCACCTTCCAAAGCAAGAAGGGAAGAAAAATAAGCTAGGTTCCTCCGTCCCCCAACACTGTACTTCAACAGTCATTCTCCCAGGACTGGGTTCGTATTTGCCTGATAAGAAATCACTGTTCCAGACTTAGTCATCAAAGTCACTCTCCTACAGTAACAATCAACAATTGCACCGTATTCTGACAACCAATCCATTCCGACGACCACGTCAAACAGACTCATCAGAAGGATAATTAAGTCAGCTCTCATTCGCTCACTCCCAATCGTGATTTCACACGATCTACACACACTCAACACCTCCACACATCCCAGTGGGGAGTTCAAAGTCATCGAGACTTCTAAATTCTCAGATTTCAGTTTCAAATTCTGAACAAACGAACTTGATACAAAAGAGTGTGTGACACCTGTATCAAACAACACGTGAGTAAATGAATGATAGATTAGAATCATACCCTCAACCACCGCGTGGCTGGTCTGACCTCCTGAACTGCCTCCTGCCAGGGCATAAGCTTGCCCCTGTACTTTCCCTTTCCCTCTATCACCAACATTAGGCCGTTGGGTCGCTGGCCTATACTGTTGCGGCGGAGGTGGTTGTACCAGTCTCGGCGCTTGTGTGACGACCCGCGCCCTCGCGGAGCGGTTGCCATTCCTTATACTACTACTAATAGGCTAAGTTATAGTCTAATCCATTATTTGTTGTTAGACTATTGTCTCTTTGATTTACGTTCATATGCGGGTAATTTTTTTTTTCTTTACTTTAACCTTCGGGTTCTTAACGTGTTATGTTGTTACACTAATAACATATCTTGCTATTACTTTAAGGATTCGGATATCAAACTAGTTCCTGAAAACTTGTCTTAACTTATTACAGTCCGTTGTTCTTTACTAAGACAATGGTTGTAATATCTTCTTCTTAGAACTGAATATACATACTAGTATTCTATATTACATTAATCTACAGTGGAAAATTATTTTCTAAGCGAGCGTAGTAGAGACCTGATGAGTGCGTAATTTATGCACTCATTCGTTACTCCTTTAGCTAGTTTCGGTGTGTTTTTCCTCAAGGTTTTATGTGAATTTGATGATTTTCCCTTAAGTGTGCAGTAATGGATGAAATCGCTGAGTTTTGAGGCAACTTGGATCAAAAAGATAGAGAATGAGGCGATACGTTGCCTTCAGATGGCGATGCGGCTTAAAAAGGAGCAAAAATCGACGAAGAGACAGCGAGAGCTGCGACATGTCGCTTCCTTACAGGTGATATGTCGCCACATCCAGGTGATATGTCACCACTTCTAGGCGATATGTCGCCTGATCTGCCGCCTGCCACAGATAACAGTGAGAAATGCGATATGTTGCCTGTTTCGAGGCGATATGTCACCTCCCGATTTTATTAAAAACACGCGTTTTTGCCCTAGAGGGGAGAGGAGATTTTTATGAAAAGTGATTGGCTTCTTGGGAGACATGCAGAACGTGGGATATAAAAGGGGAGACTAAAAACTGCAGAAGAGAGGGGAGAAAGGGTTTTCAAAAAGAGAAAAAACTGAATCGGAGAGGATTGGAGATTGGAGCAGTTCTTCAAGAATTCCAAGCGTTCTTTCTTCTCTTTCTTCTTGTATTTCTCTAGATTTTGAATATTGTTTTGAGACTGTGAGCCACATGATGTGTGGCTAATTTTCTTATTTGTTAGGGTTTAGATGAATCTCTATTTGTGATTATTGTTTCGACGTTTTAATGTGCATTTAATTAAAGCTCTTCGTTTCTTTCGTGTTCTATTTTGAATTATTGCTGCTAAATCTATGATTTACATATTGCTATGCTTTATGAGATTTTGAATTGGGCAGATTTTTATTATGAGGATTAATACTCGAGAGGGGAACGTTCAAGCAATCAAGAAACGGATAGAACAACTTAGGTTGGTGTGAGATCGAGAGATAAACATTGCCTAGGTAACCGAAACAATTTTAGGTTGTGAAATTGAGAAGTGGAATTCCAGGAATCGTTTCTAGAGTGGAACTTAATGACTTAGGGATGAATAGTTGTATAGAGATATAGGCTTGATATCACCTACACATTCTTTATGCGGCACTCAAGAGAGGGTATAAGGATACACAACACTCTAGGTTCTTGAGAACGTTGAGTTAGGTTAGGCACATTACTACGGAGAAACATAATCGCAATAGAGTGAAGTCAAGACCCTAGCATTTTTATCATATTGATTTTCCGTTCTAATTTCAGTACGTGTTATTAATTACTACCATCTTTCCTTTTGATTTAGTTTTCCTTTATTTTAGTTTTTCTTTGAGTTCATCACATCCAAATTTGATCGCTTAGATAAAGTTAAGATATGATATTCACAATAGTTAGTTTACATTCTTAACGTCAATCCTCGTGGGACGATATCGGTCTTCGGACCACTTTATTACTTGTACGACTTGTGCACTTGCAAGCATAGTCAAATTATTTGCAACAAGTTTTTGGCACCGTTGCCAGGGATGAAATGGCTAAGAATTAGACTACTATAGTGAAGAAATATCTTGTTTTAATCTAAGTTTTTTTTATTCGTATATATTTATCTATTTTTCTTTTGTTGTGTTCGTAGGTGCATGCAAAAAGCACGTGGCTCGGAACTCTTGCCTTTGGATTCAAAAATTGAATGAACTGTTCGAGCATTAAGGAGAGAACGATGAGCTAGGGCTAAGAACATGGCCAAGGAACAAAACCAAGCAGACCAGCAACGGACGTTGTGAGATTATTTCAAGCCTGTAGTGAACGAGAATTATTCGGGCGTCCAACGTCAACAAGTCAATGCCAACAACTTCGAGCTCAAGCCGGCCTTCATCAACATGGTCCAGCAGAACCAATATGGAGGCTTGCCGCACGAGGATCCCAATATCCACTTGGCCACTTTTCTGGAGATTTGTGACATAGTAAAGATTAATGGAGTGAGTGCCGAGATCATCCGTTTGAAACTCTTCCCATTCTCCTTGCGAGACCGGGCTAGATCATGGCTTCAATCTTTACCATCAGGGAGTGTAGCCGCAAGGGAGGACATGGCCCAAAAGTTCCTCATCAAATTCTTTCTGCCCTCCAAGACGTCTCAACTGAGGGCTGAGATTACTCGGCAGTTTGAGTATGAACAATTATATGAAGCGTGGGAACGGTTTAAAGAGATGCTCCGCAAGTGTCCTCAACATGGCATTGAGGATTGGTTCCAAGTGCAACTGTTTTACAATGGGCTTACTGGGCAAACTAAGGCTTATATTGATGCAGCAGCTGGTGGAACCATCTTGTCAAAGACACCCGGGGATATACTCAATCTCTTTGAGGACATGGCAATGAATAGTTATCAATGGCAAAATGAGCGGTCCACTGTGAAGAGAGCAGCATGAATTTATGATGTGGATCAAACAACGTATCTCATGGCTCAAATGGTGCTCTTGACTAATCAAATCCAGGGACTTACCGCAGCCAATGCCAATGGTAATCAAGAAGCTGTAAAGATGGCACAAGCTTCGAGCTCAAGTGATTCATATGATGAGCAATGTCGCTTCGTCAACCGTAGCTACAATTTTAGGCCTAACAATAACTTACCGACATACTATCATCCCGGGCTCAGAAACCATGAGAATTTCTCTTATGCCAACAACCGGAATGTTTTACAACCAACTCTGGAGTCGAGTAAACCGACAATGGAAAAGCCTTCCTCATCACTTGAAGAGCTTTTGAAGACGTATATTGTGGACTCTAAAGCTCGTCTTGATCAACATGACGCTTGTCTCAACAACATTGAAACTCACTGTACCAATTTGGGAGGCACTATGAAGGCATTAGAAACACAAGTTGGCCATTTGGCTAATGCTATAAAAGGGCAATCATCAAGGTCCTTCCCAAGCGACACCGAGAAGAACCCAAGGGAGTGCAAGGCCATCACATTGAGGAGTGGTAAAGAGCTTAAAAGCCCGAGTGTTCAAAACGCCATGGTTAATGAGGAGCCTATCAAGAGCGACGATGATGGTAAGGGCAAGTCAAAGGAGGAAAATCTGAAGGCAAAGAAGGAAGCACCAGTGGTTAGACCGGGTTCGATCACTTTTCTGGATAACCCACCTCGTATCACTCCCCCATTGCCATTCCCTCAACGGTTCTAGAAGAAGGCACTTGACAAGCAATTTGAGAAATTTCTCAATATCTTCAAGAGGATCCATATCAACATCCCCTTCGTGGACGCTCTAGAGCAAATGCCAAACTATGCCAAATTCATGAAGGAAGTTATGTCCAAGAAGCGTAAACTCGAGGACTATGAAACGGTGAAGCTTACGGAAGAGTGTAGCGCTATCATAAAGAGACAACTACCGGACAAGTTGAAGGATCCGGGTAGTTTTACCATCCCATGCATCATTGGAGAACTTCACATTGAGAAGGCCTTGTGTGATCTCGGGGCTAGCATCAATCTCATGCCTCTCTCTATCTTCCGGAAGCTGGAACTTGGAGAGATCACACCTACCACCATCTCATTACAATTGGCGGACCGCTCTCTCACCTACCCTAAAGGTATTATCGAGGATGTCTTGGTTAAAATTGATAAATTCATTTTTCCAGTTGACTTTGTGGTGTTAGACATGGAGGAAGACCAGGAAATACCTATTATTCTGGGCCGACCTTTTCTTGCTACCGGGAAGGCTTTGATTGATGTCCATGATGGTAACTTAACACTCCGGGTGAATGGTGAAGAGGTAAAGTCCAACATTAGTAACGCCATGAAATTTTTGGAAGAGCGACCAAGTTGTAACCGGGTGGATGTGGTGGCCCCGTGCTTAAAGGACTTCTTTCAAACCATTATTTATAAGGACCATTTGGAGAGATGTCTAACAACATCGCTCTCTAAAGGGGATCTCGGGGTGAAGTTCGGTGCATGTGAAGTAGACTTGATTGATAGTGTTTATGCTCTAGAGGCACTACCGGAGGAGAAGGTTAATCCGATGGAAAAGGATGTCCTTAAGGTGCCCACACTTTATAAAGGCTTGGAATTGAAAACCACCACTAGTGACGGGCTAGTTTTGAAGCAATTACCCGACCATCTTCGCTACGTATTCTTGGGAGATGACTCTACTAAGCTGGTCATAATATCGGCATCTTTGAGCGAGGAGGACGAGCGGAAGTTGATCAACATGCTAAAAAGGTACTCATCCGCTTTTGCTTGGTCAATTTCTGACATTAAGGGTATTAGTCCGGCCATTTGTATGCACAAGATTCTCATGGAGGACACTCCTACAAGCCTTCTATTGAACACCAACGGAGACTTAATCCCGTAATGAAGGAGGTTGTGAGAGCGGAGGTTCTGAAGCTGTTAAATGCCGGTATTATATATGCCATTTCTGATAGTTCATGGGTTAGTCCGGTGCAAGTGGTGCCAAAGAAGGGTGGCATGACGGTAGTTAAAAATGAGAAAAATGAGCTCATTCCAACTCGCACGGTAACGGGGTGGCGAGTGTGTATTGATTATAGGAAGCTAAACAAGGCCACCCGGAAAGACCATTTTCCATTGCCCTTTATTGATCAAATGCTAGATCAATTGGCGAGGCACGAGTACTATTGCTTCCTTGATGGCTATTTGGGTTATAACCAAATTGCCATTGCCCCGGAGGACCAGGAGAAGACCACATTCACTTGTCCATATGGTACATTTACCTTCCGCCGGATGCCTTTCGGTTTATGCAATACGCCTGCTACCTTCCAATGATGCATGATGGCCATCTTTGCTGACATGGTGGAGAATATTATGGAGGTATTTATGGACGACTTCTCAGTCTTTGGTTCATCTTTTAATTCTTGTTTGCACAATCTTAGGTTTGTGCTTCAAAGATGTGTAGAGACAAACCTTGTGCTTAATTGGGAGAAGTGCCACTTCATGGTGAAGGAGGGGGTCGTCCTTGGTCACCGAGTTTCGTCACTAGGTTTGGAGGTGGATCGAGCCAAAATTTCCACAATTGAGAATCTCCCACCACCAACAAATGTGAAAGGAATTCGAAGTTTTCTCAGCCATGCGGGATTCTACCGGCGATTCATTAAAGATTTCTCTAAGATAGCCAAGCCACTTTGTAACTTATTGGAAAAGGACGTGGCATTTCTTTTTTATGACTCTTGCCTCACAGCCTTCAATTTGCTTAAGAAAAAGCTCATAGCGGCTCCCATCCTCATCGTCCCTGATTGGAGTGAACCCTTCGAGATCATGTGCGATGCTAGTGACTATGCTATTGGAGCCATACTTGGCCAATGGACGGAAAAAGTTTTCTGAGCAATCTACTATTCAAGCCGTACTTTCAATGAGGCCCAAGAGAATTACACAACAACCGAGAAGGAGATGTTGGCAGTGGTATACTCATGCGACAAGTTCCGGCCTTACATCATTGGGTCCAACGTTATTGTATTTACGGATCATGCGGCCATCCAGTACCTGTTCGAGAAGAAAGATGCAAAACCCCGATTGATTAGATGGGTCTTATTGCTACAATAGTTCGATTTAGAGATCCGGAACAAGCGAGGTGTTGAAAATGTAGTAGCCGACCATCTATCTCGCCTTGAAGGGGTTGTTGAAGAACAAGGAGCTTCGTCCATTCTAGAGTCGTTCCTAGATGAGCAATTATTTGCAATTGAGGTAAAGCTCCTGTGGTATGCTGATCTTGTCAATTATCTTGCATGTAAAGCTTTGCCACCGGGTTTAACCTCTCAACAAAAGAAGAAGTTCATGCATGATGTGAAGCACTACATTTGGGATGACTCCATTCCTTTTAAGCGATGCACCGATCAAGTCATTCGGAGGTGTGTGCCGAAGAAGGAAACCCTGGATATCTTGTTTCATTGCCATTCATCTCCCGTCGGTGGGCATTTTGGAGTTGCACGGACTGCCGCTAAGGTTCTTGAGAGCGGGTTCTATTGGCCTACTCTGCATCGGGATTGTCATGAATTTGTTAAGAATTGTGACCGGTGCCAACGTGTAGGCAACATTTCGAGGTGACATGAGCTACCCCTCACCAATATATTGGAGGTTGAGATATTTGACGTGTGGGGGATCGACTTCATGGGACCATTCCCGCCTTCATTTGGTAATCTCTATATCCTTTTGGCAGTTGACTACGTAACTAAATGGGTTGAAGCTATTGCAACTCCCACAAATGATGCTCGGGTGGTTGTCAAGTTTATTCAAAAGAACATTTTCTCACGTTTTGGCACACCTAGAGCTATACTTAGTGATTAGGGCACTCACTTCGCCAACAAGGTGTTTGATGCGCTCATGGCTAAGTATGGAGTCCGGCACAAGATGGCCCTTTCTTACCATCCTCAATCCAATGGCCAAGCGGAAATTCAAATCGGAAGGATTGGTCAAACGAGCTTGACGACGCTCTATGGGCATATAGGACGGCGTTCAAGACACCTATTGGCATGTCTCCGTACAGGTTGGTGTTTGGGAAGGCGTGTCATCTACCATTTGAGCTTGAACACCGGGCGCATTGGGCCATTAAGAAGCTCAACTTTGATTTGAAGGCCTCGGGAGAGAATAGACTTCTTCAACTCAATGAATTGGAGGAGATTCGTAATGAGGCGTATGAGAATGCGAGGATTTACAAGGAGCGCACGAAGCACTGGCATGACAAGAGGATCCTCCGCCGCAACTTCATTCCGGGAGAGAAGGTACTTCTATTCAACTCTCGCCTTAAACTTTTTCCCGGAAAGCTGAAATCTCGATGGTCCGGTCCATTCACGGTTACAAAAGTCTTTCCATTCGGCGCTGTTGAGATACAAAGAGGAGATGAACCTGCCTTCAAAGTGAACGGACAACGCCTTAAACACTATTTTGAAGGTGAGGTGGAAAAGATTGTGAGTCTCCAGCTCATCGAGGACATTTGAAACATGAGGTACTATGTCTAGCTAAGGACTTTAAACGTAGCGCTTCCTGGGAGGCAACCCACATATGAGTTTTCTTTCATTATGTGTCAAATGGAGTTCATTGTTCGAAAAAAAAAAATTTTGAAGAAGCAAAATAAGAAAGGGAGACAGAACGAGAGGCGATACGTCGCCTGAAATCAGGCGACATATCGCCTAAAGAAAAAAAAGAGAGATTGGGACAGAGCGAGAGGCGATACATCGCCTGAAATCAGGCAACATATCGCCTGATGGATTTTGAAAAAAAAAAAAAAAAAAAACCTTGAATAAGGGGTAATTCGAACACCCCATTTTCAAAACTCCCTTCTTCCGTCCTTCTTCTCTCTCTCTCCATTTCCCTTCCTCATCTCTCATCCTCCATCACTCTCCCTCATCTCTAACCAACCATCTCCATCACTCATCTCTCTCCAACCACCACCACCCCTCCCATCTTCCGACCAAAAATCCGGCCACCATTGTAACACACGCCAGCCATCGTGGAAATAACACCAAAATTTCTGCAACAAAATTGGAAGCATTTTCCACCACGTTCCAAGGGTTCTAGGGCTCCAACAAATTTTGACCAAGGTAAGATTCTTCTTGATGCATGGTGGTATTGTTGGGGAATGTTGATGAACTTTGAGAATTAGGCTTGTAAATTTCAGTTTATGCACCTTACGTGTTCGATAAAATGCTTCAAAGACTGTTATGTATGGGATTTTATGTTTTTCAACGTGGGAATGCTTGTTTGGGGGAGACGCTGGGTGTAGTAAAAAAAAAAGGGAAAAGTGTGGTAGTCGCCGGTGATTCGACTCAAGTTTGGGGGAGAATTTTGTGAATAGTTTGGTCATTCTCGGTGCCACGGGTGTCATTGTTATTCTTGGTCTCAGTGATATTGATATGGCCCCGGGGAAGAAAAAGAAAATCACCGCCTCCGCGTCGACTTCGTCATTTACGGTTAAACACTCCTTTGTCAACAATGAGGCAGCGAAGAAGTACAAATTATGGAATGACAAGAACAAGATGATTATCATGGAGTCGGTTTTTCAACCGGATGAGGGGGATGGGCAGTTACTTCGGATGATCAACCAGAGGGGGTGGCAACAACTATGTCAGGTTCCTGCCACTGGAAACATTAGTGTGGTCCGAGAATTCTACGCCAACGCCCACGTAGAAAGGGATAACCAACAAGGCAAGGTTCGTGGGGTTTCAGTGTCTTTCACTACCGAGATGATCAATTCTTTTTTCGACCTACCGAACATCACTGATGACGAGTACTATCGATTACTTGAGGAAGGGCCGGACTATCAACAGATTTTGCGTGAACTTGCCGCTCCTGGGTCTGATTGGGTTTATTCAACCAACAATCCAGAGTCTCCCCGACATCTTCCCAGTTCGTGCCTTAGTATCTATGCGAAGATGTGGAACTTATTCGTCATGTCTACCTTGATGCCTTCCACTCAGCATTCTGAAATTCTGAGAGATCGGGTAGTACTCCTCTACTGCATCTGTGCCGGGAAATCCATCAATGTGGGCAGACTCATTAAAGACAGTATCTTGCACATTGCCCGTGGAACCACGAACGGTGGACATGGGCATGCAAGTCTCATCACTGGGTTATGCCTTGTGGCTGGTGTTCCAATTTCGGAGGACGAGCCTTGTTTACAATGTGGTACCCTTGACCATCGTAATGTCACACGCATCACTTAATGGTCCGGGGGTCAACCTAATCCTACGGGGCTGGGTTTCATTATCGAGGATCCGGCCAATCCTCCACCACCACCTGTGTGCCCCAGACAGCGTCTTCCTCTCCCAGAAGTGACTTTGATCGGGTCGCCTATGAGTCTAGAGTACGTGAGCGTATGGAGGCGCGAACAATGGCTCGACGCTCACGCCCTATGGTATCTTCCTCTACGGGTACAGAAGGCACCAGTTACAGCCTCAACGATATCGGCGAGTTACTTGTTCAACAAGGTATTCAGATGTCCAATCTTCAGCTTGAGCAACAACATATCCTTCGCCGCGTCACGGACGTACAGGAGCGTCAACAATGCTTGGCACATTATGCAGCAGATTATTTTGGAGCATGGCCTCAAAATTCTGGCTTCACCAACTATCCGCCCTTCCCCGACGTTTTTTTTCCTCTCCCCCAGCCATATCAGTCTCTGGGAACCTCAGATGGCGAACACGATGGTGGAATTGATGATGCTGGAGGAGGTATGGCCAGAAACAATTAGACCGGCTGGGAGGTATTGTTTTTCTAACCTTTTCCTTATTTGTTGATGTTTATTTTTTTTTTTAGGGTAGTTAGGTTTCAATTTATTTTGATATTTGTACTGAACTGAGTGTTGTATTACATATGACTTTGGGCTTCAATGATGACTTCATGCTAAGGCCTCTTCTTCCATTCGATATGTGTCTCTATACCTTTGACTGTGTGCTTGATCTATCATGCTTGCTTTTGATGTTGTTATCTCTATTTCTAAGCACTTGTCTTTCTGCTTTTTCTTAAACGCTGTGTGGCATTGTGTGCAATTTTGAGACCTTTTATCGCAATGAGAATGCTAGAACTTACCCGAAGGACTTGTCGAGGCGAAATCCTAGGTCTTTGTTGTGTTGATAGGATAGAGGCCCTCTTTGGACCGTTTGAGCCAAAAAGCTAACCTTAGCAACATGTTATCCATAGAGTCCCTATTTGAGCCAAAAAAAAAAAAGAGAAAAAAAAGAAAAAAATTAGATTCATTTGTTTTACCGCATGAGAACCTGAGCCTTGCAATATATCAAACATTACCTTTACCCACTCACCTTGGCATCACACGTGACCCTTTCACCGAGCGTCGAATGCCTGGCCAGCGAGAGTCGTTAAGTGAGGAGTTTTCTGATACCGTCCTTGAACCTTTATATTCATCCCTTGCTATTCCAAATGCGAATTTGACTTTGTGTTCCAAAAAAAAAAAAAACAAAAAAAAAAAGTATTCATGTTTGGGGATCGATCATAGTGGGGGATAGTGTTTATGGACGTTACATTCGAAGGTGAAGAGGTGAATCTAGAAATAAAGGGCATTGGTTTTGGTTCGGTGAACGGAGGAGTCTATTATTGCCACCGTGCTTGTCTAGGGTGAGTCTGATTTTCTTTCTCCGATTCTCATTTATCCTTCACCCCAGCCTAAGGTTACAAGCCGAGTAAAGTCCTCTTGATCTCCATGGCATTTGACCTACATTAGTGGAGATGAGTCAGACGGGTGAGCCTATGGTCGTTCTGTTTTATTGTTTATCTTGCGATTTGTCTTGATACACAGAGTCACATTTGTGTTTAGGTCTTGTAGAGATGATTTGCACACACTTACACGGAGATAACAGTGTCAGAAGTTGAGTATTGGTGGGTTGAAATTCTAGTCATTTTTCAGATTCACATGTTGAGTGGGTACAGAGGTGTTTGGCAACTTGAGATTTTATGTCTGAGCTCTATGTTTACACTCTTAGTCGGTTCATTTCTATTTCTTTTGTTTTGTTTTTAGTTTGTCATTCTAGGTTGTGTCATTTTGTGTTCATTTTTCTTTTTCCCATTTTGTGTTTTGTTTTAGGTCTCTCTGCTTGAGGACAAGCAACCGTTCAAGTTTGGGGGTGTGATGAGTGCGTAATTTATGCACTCATTCGTTACTCCTTTAGCTAGTTTCGGTGTGTTTTTCCTCAAGGTTTTATGTGGATTTGATGATTTTCCCTTAAGTGTGCAGTAATGGATGAAATCGCTGAGTTTTAAGGCATCTTGGATCAAAAAGACAGAGAATGAGGCGATACATCACCTTCAGATGGCGATGCGGCTTAAAAAGGAGCAAAAATCGACGAAGAAAGAGCGAGAGCTGCGACATGTCGCTTCCTTACAGGCGATATGTCGCCACATCCAGGCGATATGTCGCCACTTCTAGGAGATATGTCGCCTGATCTGTTGCCTGCCACAGATAACAGCGAGAGATGCGATATGTTGCCTGTTTTGAGGTGATATGTCACCTCCCGATTTTATTAAAACACGCGTTTTTGCCCTAGAGGGGAGAAGAGATTTTTATGAAAAGTGATTGGCTTCTTGGGAGGCGTGCAGAACGTGGGATATAAAAGGGGAGACTAAAAATTGCAGAAGAGAAGGGAAAAAGGGTTTTCAAAAAGAGAAAAAACTGAATCGGAGAGGATTGGAGATTGGAGCAATTCTTCAAGAATTCCAAGCGTTCTTTCTTCTCTTTCTTCTTGTATTTCTCTAGATTTTGAATATTGTTTTGAGACTGTGAGCCACATGATGTGTGACTAATTTTCTTATTTGTTAGGGTTTAGATGAATCTCTATTTGTGATTATTGTTTCAACGTTTTAATGTGCATTTAATTAAAGCTCTTCATTTCTTTCGTGTTCTATTTTGAATTATTGCTGCTAAATCTATGATTTACATATTGCTATGCTTTATGAGATTTTGAATTGGGCAAATTTTTATTGTGAGGATTAATACTCGAGAGGGGAACGTTCAAGCAATCAAGAAACGGATATAACAACTTAGGTTGGTGTGAGATCGAGATAAACATTGCCTAGGTAACCGAAACAATTTTAGGTTGTGAAATTGAGAAGTGGAATTCCAGGAATTGTTTCTAAAGTGGAACTTAGTGAAGGTAGGGATGAATAGTTATATAGAGATATAGGCTTGATATCACCTACACATTCTTTATGCGGCACTCGAGAGATGGTATAAGGATACACAACACTCTAGGTTCTTGAGAATGTTGAGTTAGATTAGGCACATTACTACGGAGAAACATAATCGCAATAGAGTGAAGTCAAGACCTAGCATTTTCATTATATTGATTTTCCGTTTTAATTTCAGCACGTGTTATTAATTACTACCATCTTTCCTTTTGATTTAGTTTTCCTTTATTTTAGCTTTTCTTTGAGTTCATCACATCCAAATTTGATCGCTTAGATAAAGTTAAGATATGATATTCACAAT